CCAGCCAGTTGCGTTTTGCATAAACAAATGAAAGCGCAGTAAATTTGTTACATGAGCCCTTCAACCGATCCGATGCCGAGGAAGGAATTCTTGGTTTACCTACATGCAATTTAACTACAGAGCGATCGTGGTATCGTTCAAGGTTTCCTTACAAGTGCTAAAACTCTTGCCCAATCTGAGTTCAGTTGTGAGTTGCTTCATTGAGCTCGCTATTTGCCGTAGTATCCTATCAGTCAGGCAAATTGCGAATTTATAAGGTTATATCAGGGTTCATCACTTGGTCAACGATCTTCATTCGATCAATACGATCAATATCAATTGTTTAGGAAATCGGACATGGGTACTGTTAGACTTCGATCGATACATCTTAGCCCAATGGCGACCACGTGGATCTGAAGTGATTTTTGGTGCAAGATTTGTAGAAAAGAAAATGCGATCCGGAATGCAACTCTGTGCTTGGTGTGGAATGATCGAACAACAGGTAAGAAAAGTCCTATGCTGTAACAATATATAGTAATAGGTGATTTGCTTGGAGTTGCAGTTCTCTATCAGATTGATTCTGTAATTTAAATACTCACGTATTTTTACGAAGTTATTATTGAATAGAAATTTTTGGAGGTGATTAGTAGGCGTCAGGTGGAAGAATTCTGGAATAATTCCAGGAAGGGATAAAGAATAATGAGCCCCCGTTGTAGGCGGTTGCTCGCTTTGACGATTCCACAAATTACGTTATCAATGCTAAATTTGCAGGGTTAATTTGGTCATGTCGTCTTTGATAGGACAGGACCTCCCTAATTCCCCATTGTCTCGTCTAACCAGCCGGCTCCCCGACTGGCGGCGGGCCCCTCTCCTTCCCATGTTAAAGTGGCCTCCCCGCCTGCACCATCCATCAAATTTGAGCGTTCCAGGTCCACGGGAACAGGAGCTATGAATTTCCGCTCAAACCCCACCCCTTGTGGACGGAGTCTCGTCCTGTCAACCACCATGAGTGTTCTCATCCCTCCGCCTATACTCCTTCCAACTTTGAACTTTCTAGGTCCACGGAGACAGGAGTTATGATTTTCCAAAATGTTGCACTTCTAGAGAACGCACCGTCCATCGGGGGTGGGTCTCCCCATTTTGATCTAACATACTAATGCACACCTCTAGCCACCTTTACACCCCAGTTTTGAAGCTGTCTTGTGACTGAATTTGAAATCATGGTCCTCAGTACAGCTCATCTCGATGCACACCACGCCCACTGTGGGCGGGGCTNCGCCAAGCTGATGTGTGCTTTATACTTCACGGGACATGGCCCACCCATCCCACGCTTGGCCCAGTCCCTCCAGGAGATCTAAGGGAGCTAAGGAATTTCGTGACAGACATACGACACACAGACAGACCGACAGAACGACGCACGAAGCGCTCTATAGTAAGTAGGGTGGACAAACATGGGAAAATGAGTAAATGAGAGTGAGGATCGTAGATGGTGACGGACATTGGGTCATGTAGCATATTTCTTTCGATCTAGTACTGAGCTCGGGTGTTACCTGTATGTCATACGGATGTATGTTGGTGTTGGCATGGATTTTTTTTATGATACAGCACAGTGTCAAGAGTGGTGTCTCACATAACGGTTTCTTAAATGTGGTTTCTCCAAGTTTCCCTAAATCAAATTACCACCTCCTTTATCTTTGGTAAAATCATAAATAGATAGTTTTTTGAGATACGCCCCGCATCAGGCATCCATTCAGAATTGTATGGCCTTTTCAATGCGTATGCGGCTTATCAATGACCTGCGGTGGCCAGCTGATGTTCAAATCAGTGCTCCCAGACGAAGCTGGTACACTTATCCAACCCTGCAGCGAAGGAAGGCTTCGTTGACCTGAACGAGTGTCGATCTAGGATTTGATCCTCGTAACATGCGTGTGCAATAGTGCGCCGCATGCCACCACACCACCTCCGCACTCATCGATATTTTACTTAATTGAGTAACTTCCGAAAAAAAACTTCGAAGAGTACCTTCAAAGGGAAACTTACAATTAGTCACAATAGCCACGAAAGTCCAAGTGCAGCATTACTTAATATACCCTGAAACATCAGAGCACAGTACCAGGTTTGAGTAGCTCATCTGCTCGAAAGGTCCATCTTGACCGAAGTTTTTTGAAGATCCTTCGGAATACCTGGTAGATTATGATACCTATGGGATGGTTCCAAACAAAGGCTCGTACAATTTCATGTAGATCCATTGGGTATAGAAAGACAGGGGTGTAGATCCACAGTAACTCAACAATGACGGAGAAAACAAGGAATTCCTAACAATTCCCGAAGCACAAAGCTTATTTACCACTAGTAATTTTTAACGTTGGTCTCAAGGTTCAAGGTGAACTCCAGTGCCCGAGGAACTCGGATAGGATTAAGATGCTAAATTTCAAGTTTGTAAAGTTTTATAGGTAAAAAAGAGTTTAACTCGTGAACTCAATTGTATTTTTCGTTTTTTCGATTTCCAACTTGAAGATTGTGTTAGTTGGAGGTGTTGGAGATGCTCAAAATTAGTCTCTTCGTTGTTTTAGCCCAATCAGTTCTCACAAATCATGACCGACAAAGCAGTCTGTTCACCACAATGCTGGGAATTGTTGCAAGCATCCAACAAGACTACTGATCTTCAACCGAAATAAACCTGTATTTGTACTGAATAAACATATTTTTCATTAAATGGTAGTATTAAAGGTTTTGAACCTTGATTGGTGCTTGAAGCTGTTTTTCCGTTTGCTCATCAACATTCCAACCTTTTTTCTTAAAGTCGCCGTTGTAAGGTGCGAAACATATTGCTGACGATTTCTGAAGAGTTTTCACGGTCGCTATGAACTCTAGATTTTCTTTCGTATCAGAAAGTAACTTGTACGTGGCATATATTTGTCCCACTTGAAAAAAGCATCCGCTGCCTGTTCATGTCGCAATCGCGCGTCACGTTTGCGTCACGTGCCCATGAAGGTTCCCCCTCATGCAGCCTTGCAATTCTCTTCTGGCTGTTTTCATTTTTTTCCTATTTCCTCGCCTTTCTGCCTCTCATTTCAACTTTCATGTCTCAATGGTTTACGGTGTCAGTTTCTGACCAACATCATTCTCGTACTTGTTCAGAGCTAAACGGCAGTCGAAATGTAATACTAATAATTTTATAATAATAATAATTTAATAAGGATATAATTTAATATAATATAATACATAGCGATGTACATATACATAACTCTCAGAGAATCTCGGTAATTTTTCAGTTGCAGTATTCACTTCTTATGCTTTATTCGACTGGCTTTTTGGCCTTTTCGTCGCCTGTTTTCGGAAAAAATTTTGCTAGAAAATTTAAGCGTTTAGCATAGGAAGTAAAAGTCACAAATATTAGTAATAATTATAATAGTAATGTTAATAATAATGATAATAATAATAATAATAATAATAGTGATAATAATAGTAATATTAATAATTATAATAATAATCATAGTATTTATTATTAATAATAACAGTAACAAAGTATATAATGACACTGATATAATGATATGATATGTATACTTCATGATAGTATAGTACCTGAAATTTCCTTCGAGATTTTTTTTCGTGAATGGCTTCATGACTGTGCTAGGCATGTGATGTTCTGGTGATTCGTCAGTGCCTATTTCATTAAGTGATTTTTTAATAATTGAAAATTCCCGTAAAAATATTTGCATTGCCCTTACAAAGCGGCACATTCCCCATTCTTCGCCCGCGACCCACGCAACTCGATGGACAGGATCAAGATTGTGGAGAGTATCCGGGGTGTGGTGCGTTAGGAACGAAATGGTCGCGTCGCGGTGAGAGGGGCGTCGCGCGCGAAGGAGTGTAGCAGGATGCAGCAGTAGGTAAGAAATACAAGAACAAAAGTACTAATAGTAGAATTATGCATAAAATAATGATCGCATATCGATTGGGCTGTATGAAGAACGCTAGAGCTGTAATAACGGCGAATGAGTGGTCCGCGACAGCCGCGTGCGGCAAATCGATTACCCAAATCGTTACTAACGCCCGTCTCCCGAGCTTTAATCCAACTAATGGGAGAAGCTTTGAAGTCTGAAAATCACCTCGGGCGAATCCTCTCTTTCGGGCGGATTCATGCAATAGAACAGTCCATCGCCACTCCTCTACTTCCCACACCAACTCCCCGCCTTCATCACGTGCTTTCTTGACGATAGGTTCAAAGAAATTACTTAACGATCACAACGACAGAAGAAAAAATCTCGCTCCTCATTCGAAAGGAATTCCGAGAATGATTGTCCAGGACTTTGGGGTGTGTTCGAATTCCTGCCGATGGTTTTTAGGGAACGCTTTACAGCGGAGCGGAATCGAATTGATAGGGTGGAACAACATGCTGAACGAGAAATTTCTTGCCTTTTCGTTTACTAATTGCATATTATCGTTGTCTGTCCAAAGCGAAATATGACGACGCCTCCCGAAAAAGGACCACACCCCAGAAGATGGTATTTTCAAATTTAGACCTCTCCCACGATACTCCTGATGATCGAGAGTTATCTTGCCATATATGCGCTTGTATCAAGAAGTGGATGTGAAATAGTTTGCTCGGAAAATGTAAATAACACTTGATTCATTTCAATGTAGTAGGGTTAGAGGTTGATGAAGTGGCAAGGGGCGCGCTATCACGCACTAGGATCCAGGGATCGAAATCCGCAACAATACTGGCCCAGGTCAATCAGGCCTTCCAATTGATCTTTATTCCTTATGGACTTATTGGCCCAATTCATCCTCATATTACTAATCTCATGCTAAACTACAAAAAATGCACAATCAGGATATAATAGCAGTTCCTCGACCAGTACAGTGTGGAGGCCAGTACTATTTGGCTTCATATCTCCATCGGTTTCATTTTTTAAGGAAAAATACAAATTGTTTTGAAAAGAACATACTCTTCTAGAAGAATCGGTGGCTTCACTGGTCTTTAATAATTGGCCGTTTTCCTAAGATAATTACGTTTTCTAAATTCGTCTCACTTCGCGCATGAAACCGCGACCCAATCGACGTGCGCGCGGTTGCGTCACGGATGCCTCGCCCTGCCACCTTTCGTCACTTCGTGGGAGGTCGTCGCAGGTTTATCTAAGGGTAATGAAGTGGCTTCTGTAAGGACCGTCAGCAAAGTGCATTTCTTCCACTACCACCCACACTGACAAGGGATAGTACGGGACCGTAAATCAGGAAAAACGCTGTTTGGAATTTTATGAATCACAATTATCTCCGATAAGAAAAGTAATCGGGGGGTTTTATGAGATATCAGTGGTTCGAACTCAATGAACTCAATTTTTCCCCAAGACGCACCCAGATCAAGGAAAACAGTTACATTGGTGCTAAGGATTCCTGGTAACACTGGTCTGGTTGTACTGTGCCTTAACCTCTTTTATTTCCAGACCAAATATTCATTGTTATAAAGGATAAAAGTTACAGATTCAGTTAGAGATGAAGTAAAGGAAAGTTCAGGTTTTTGGCGTTAATCGA